CATATGCATCTGGTTAATTTAGAATTTCTTTTCTATTCTACATCTTTCAGAGTTGCCACAGGGATATTATAAGCCTGAACATGTGGGAAGGCAGCAGGAGGAAAGGAAGTATGTCCAGGAGATAAATTCTCCCTAATCCATGTTCTTTCTCTACTTACAAAACTTCTACGGGGAAAAATAGTTTCTTTAACTGCTTCTCTTCAAACCCTTCCAGATGAAAATGAATTTCTGTCTTAAAAAGTGTTTTCATAAATGGCAGAGTAAGTTTCTGGATAAAGCACACCTAATTTACAAGTCAAATATGGTATTTTCTAAGCTTTTGGCCTTGTAAACTGAATGCAAGGTCCTATTTGTGCACCAAGCAGTATGCTGCTTTATTACGCTCTCACCACACCAGACAACTCACTGTGTTCAAAGCTCAAGCTGTAGTGTCACTGGAGTCATGCGAGTGTAGCTTTGGCCATATGAGAGTATGGTGATTAGTAATTCTGCCCCTGCTCTGTAGAAGATAATTACAATCTGGTTCAGACCTAAAAGCTAGGCAAGTATTTTAACACATTTCATAATAATAATACTTTGTCATAAGACTACCTAAATGTTTCACCCTATAACCGTTGACTCCCCACCACACCTCACTGTCAAACTGCAGGCTGAAGGAAACATTGCATCTTCTCTTTGCTTGAAATGGACTTTGGTTTATCTTAGGACCATAAAAGAACAGTTATGTGCGCTTTGAGCAGGTGGCTGGAGCAGATGATCTCCTGAGGTCCCTTTTAACCTAAATTACGATTCTGTGAAAATTAGGTCAATTATTAAAAGCTGCCTTAGGCCATTACAGAAATGAAGTGGTTTGTGGCCAACGAGTGTGTTTTGAAGCCAGAATTTGGATTCAACTGTGAAGACTATATGACTGTGAAGATAACCCCAGAGTCAAAGATCTCCATTCTGTCATTTCATGAGAAGCCACCAGATCTGTGGAATATGTGCATTTGTACTGATGTTGCCACCCATAAGGTCATTAACAGATACTAGTCTATGGTGAGGGCTGTGTTGTATCCCACACATCCCATGCTCTTCCACCCTTGGATTCCCAATCTCCTTTTGTCTTTCCTTCTGGTCTGTCACCCAGACATCCAATCTACTGTCCTTCGACTCCAAGGGACAAACAAGACACTTGGTCTCAGCCTCAAATTCTCAGTGACTGGCAGCCCAGACAACTCTTCTCAACTGTAGAAACTGCTCTGCACAAAGCCCAAGGACACAGAATAGGGAAAAAAATCCACAAAACAACAAACCCATCCACACGATCACTAGTTTTTTGTAGACCTCACTGCACTTCTAGCTCATTATAAACTCTCTTCTCCAAGGCCTCGCTCATAAGATACTAAGGAGATTGATCCTTTTCAGATCTTTTCAGTATCTGCGTAAAACTTTAGAAAATATAGTAGCTTCCTTGTTACTCATGTCAGATGGCAACTCCTGGTCCCCAAGCCTAAGGAACGGCTAGCAAGCCAGGCTCACATCATGCAGCCCAGCAGTCATCCTAACCTCTGTACCTCCACATCATAGACTGCTTTATCCCATACCACAAACCCGACTTACCTGCCCCTAGCACTTGTTAATACACCAGACCTGTGTACGTGCTAGCAGCCCATGGGACCAAGTCAGGAAAGGCAACACAGAGTAGATGCTAACTGCTAGCGTTATACCAATCCAGAAATTTAGAAGGTGGAGAATGACACTCAAAGCCCTCTGCCACTGTTCAGTGCCAACCTAACACCTTCCAAACACTCTCCATATTGGCTAAAGTCACAGCTGCCCCAATGGAGCCCCTCAGTCATGGCGCAGAAACAATTTGGTGTGCTACAGCCAAGGTCTGCAATACTGCCTTTGCACACAGCACGTATCTCTGTCCTTGTGCTGTGTCAACTATACTGCCTGAATCCACTGCATGCGTCATCTCTGTTACTCAGAGACCTTACTCAAGAAACGGGACGATCTTCTAAGGGGAAAAATCAACCTTCACAGCATCAGATGACTAAACTGCCTTGAGGTCAACACTGCCTATTTCCTGCTACAGAAGGTTACAAAGCCTCTTCCTGATAAACAAGGCTCATCTAGGCATTTCAGCTGGGTCCTGAATTCCTGCAGGAAGGAGGCTGTGCGCACTTCTAGTTGGCTGGCTAAAACATTGAGACCTTCAGCATGCCCTGAGCTGTGGAAATCTAAACAGCACAATCTGCAAGAACTCGGGAAAGCCACTACAAGTGCAGAGGAAGCTTCAGATCCCAATGTAACTAGCCCCGCAAACTCTCCCAAGCCTGAACACTCCTCAGGTGGCTCCTACCCTCACCTACGTCCTCTTCAGACTTCTTGCCTGGTGTTAAGTTACACTGTTTGTATGATGAAAAACTTGGACTCTCATCTCCTCCTTGCCCTGAGGGGCCTCAGTAGACTGGCAAACAGGTGTAGCTTTAGGAATATATGCAGAAGTAAGGATTCAACAAATCTCTGCAAGAAGCAGAGAAGTACTTCATTTAAAAAAAAAAAAAGATCATTCACAGTTTTAAATGAAATAAAAAAAAAAAAAAAACAAAAACGAAACACCACAGTGTCCAGCTAACACAGTCGCAAAAAAAAAAAAAAAAACAACAAGAAAAAAGAAAAAAGAAAATGGGGTGTTCCTAAATTACTGGAAATAGTCCCCTTTGCCTAGTGGATTAAATACAGCTACATCTTGCTTTCAGGACATCATGTGAAACTGTTTCATAAACTGCCATCTCTCTGCCTAGCTGGTGTCTTAGGGGTGATTCCACACCAGAAATTTTGCAGGGGACTCCTCACACATCCATTCCTCTTCAAAAGCAACTTCTGACAACCCAGTGCCATTTATTTCACTCTCGTAGCATCCTGATCAAGGCCTCACAAGCAGCATATGAGGAGCAACAACCAGCCCATCAGTCCTTGCTGGGCAGTTTCTGAAGAGACAGAATACACAAGCTTGTTACCATATTCAGCCCCACAATGCAAAACTCTTACTTTTTTTTTTTTTTTTAAACAAATTTGGCTGTATGCATCTGCACAAGTACATATGAAAGAGCTCTGGATAGACCTACACACCAGCTAGTGATTAACATTGCTGCACTTGCAGCAGTTGCAGGGCTGTGAAGTCAGTTCTAAAGACCTGTGCCATGCTACGGCAGTTTTGTAGCTTTGATAGCAGGAGCAGGAGAGGCAGAAGAGGAGGTGTCAGAGACAGCTGACTTTCTGCTGTGGCTTGGTCATCTCTCTGAATGGCAAATTAATGACATACTTTGTGCTCCTTCAAATTGCAACTGACCGGTGTATGGTGAGAGCCCTGAGAAAGGGGGCAAGAAACAGGATCCTGTTGCGGCCAGCACGTGCTGTTGGCTATTGACAGATAGGGTCAACTGCTTTCAATAAGGCACTTGTGCAACAGTTGTTACTGCTGTCATTTGTCATGGATCCCTCATTAGGATTTGTTTAGTACAGCAGCAGGAAATCAAAACAGGGCATGGAATAATGACAGTTTGAAGTTAGTCTCGACTCAGCCCCTATCCTCAGAGGGTAGGGCCTCTGCAAGCACACCTCTTGCTGAAGTCTGCCGATTTTCACATGGCATCTCTCCCCCAAGCACAGCCCAACATTGCTGCCACAGAGTCAAATCAAACTAAGATTCCCACCAAAAGAGCATGGAAAGTTCCTGCAGGTAGTTTTGGAACAGAAGGAATTGACAATAGTATGGAGAAGAGGAGCAGAGAAGCCAAGCTCCCAGCCCTTACAGGGACTCTACAGCCAAAAATCTGTGGCAGGCTAGCACTATGAGAACACATTTTCACATGCTCCAGAATAACAAGAGGCATCTGGGCCTTGCGCAACAACTGAGAAAGAACAAGGCAAAAATAAATTAGGCAGTAAAATAGGGACCTTGCCCCTCACCTATAACAGTGGTTAAGTGTCTGTTAAAACTAGTGGCTAATTGGATTATTACACTAACTCCTAGATACAGAGATTTATGGATTTGATCAGTCGAAGTTCACAAGTGCAAAGTCTACACGGTCTGTTGCTACATCAGAAATGAACAGCTTAGGAGCAAACAAAGAAAACGACAAGGAAAAAAAAGCAGAAATTCAGTTTAGGTAAGTACCAGAAAGGAAAGAGAGGAGCTTGTAATCAAGCACCTTAACACTAAAAACTAACGATAATAAGCAAATCTCAGTTCCAAGTTATTGAAGGCTAGGTTCATTTCTGCAGTGAAAGGTGCTTTTTTCCTTGGCATCTTCTGTTGGTGACCTCGGTACTGGGCTGTAAGGACCTTTCAGAAGCACAAGCTCAGGCAGTAGTGCCTGGGAATTTTAAAGTGGGCTTTGATTTGCAGCAACACGAACTTTAGGAGGCAGTGTTCCACTGCAGCCAACCTCAGTGATTTTAACTCAATTGCCTCTAAGCGGTATTATACCCATGACACTGCCTACAGGGCCAAAAGACAGGTTTCTTGAAGGTAGCGTGGCAAGCCTCCCACCAGCTATCATACTAGCTACCAAAGTCTGATGAGCAGGTCTCTTTTACCTTGGCTCCCAAAATTCCCTATGGTCAGTCACAAGCTTCGGGAGCCCAAACTATTGCCTTGGGCTCCATGAAATCACTGCAGTCCTCCCTGCCCACACAAACCATACAAACTTCCTGCTCCACAGGCCCTCCTCAGCCTACCCTCCCCCTTGGCCCCCTTGCCACTCCGGGCTCCTTGCTCCTCGCTATCTCCAGCCCAGCGGCCACCACAGAAAAGACACATCCCGGGACCGAGATAGCGGCAGATCGGAGGGCGAAGGAGCAATGCCGGCCGTTCGGAGCCGCCCCACAAGCAGACGGAGCCCGCCCACCAGCTTCCAAAATGGCGGCTGCCGCGCGCCACCTCAGCCGCGCGCCGCCAGGGCGGGGGGGAGGGAGGAGCGGGAGAGACCGCCCCGGGGCAGCGGGGCGCATGCGCGCCGCCCGGCGGCCGAGCCGAGCGCAAGATGTCGGCGCAGGGGGACTGCGAGTTCCTGGTGAAGCGGGCCCGCGAGCTGGTGCCGGGGGACCTGTGGGCGGCCAAGGCCTGGCTCATCACGGCGCGGAGCCTCTACCCCGCCGACTTCAACATACAGGTAAACGCCGGCGCACCAGAAAGGCGCGGCGCGCTTCTCCCCCACAGGGCCTTGCGGCGGACGCCGCCTGACTGACTGGCGCTTCGGCCAATGGAGCGGAGGGGCGGGGCGGCCGGTTGCCGTGGTGACAGGGGCCCGACGGCGCCGGCAACGACGCTGTTTCGTCCGTTAGTTAGGATGGCGGTTGCGGCAGGGGGCTGCCAGGGGGCGCGGAGAAGGGCGGCTGCCTTGGCAGGGGCCAGGCCCAGCTCCCCTAGTAGGGGTCAGCCCCAGCAGCCATGGCAGGGGCCAGACACCGTTTCCCTGACAGGCGTCCGGGCCCGGCACCCGTAGCAGGGGCCAGACTCAGCACCCGTGTTTTGCAGCCGAACACTCTTTTGCAGGCTTTCTTCATTGCATTTCAGCCTCCCCCTGAACGCACAGGACAGCTGTTGAGAAACGCAGAACCACGCAATGGCAATGCCACAGGTGCCCAGCCTCTCACTGTGGTGTCCAGTGATTAAAAATAAAGTGGCAAGCTTGTAACTGCTCATTGTGTTTCACTGCAATAAAATCTACTCCTGTGAATGCTTTGGGAAAGACATGAGAGTGTTGGGTTTTTAATAACTGAGGGGAAGGTCCCTTTCTGCTTCTTGTGTTTGCACATGATCCTCATTAGGAAGCTGAGGAAGTGTGGGCTAGATGAGGTGACAGTGAGGTGGATTGAGCGCTGGCTGTGTGACAGGACTCAGAGGATTGTGATCAATGGCACAGAGTCTAGCTGGAGGCCTGTAACCAGTGGTGTCCCCCAGGGGTCAATACTCGGTCCAGTTTTGTTCAATATATTCATTAATGACCTGGATGAGGGGACAGAGTGTATCCTCAGCAAGTTCGCTGATGATACCAAACTGGGAGGGGTGGCTGACTCTTCAGAGGGCCGCACTGCCATCCAGCGTGACCTGGACAGGCTGGAGAGCTGGGCAGAGAGGAACCTAATGAGGTTCAACAAAAGCAAGTGCAAGGTCCTGCACCTGGGGAGGAAGAATGCTAAGCACCAGTATAGGTTAGGGGTAGACCTGCTGGGAAGTAGTTCTGAGGAGAAGGATCTGGGGGTCCTGGTAGATAGTAAATTATCCATGAGCCAGCAATGTGCCCTTGTTGCCAAAAAGGCCAATGGAATCCTGGGCTGCATAGGGAAGAGTGTGACAAGTAGGTCGAGGGAGGTCATTCTCCCCCTCTACTCGGCACTGGTGAGGCCACAACTGTAATACTATGTCCAGTTCTGGCTCCCCAGTTCAAGAGGGACAGGGAACTGCTGGAGCGAGTCCAGCGAAGGGCAACTAAGATGACTGAGGGTTTGGAGCATCTCCCTTATGAGGAAAGGCTGAGAGAGCTGGGACTGGGACTCTTTAGCTGGAGAAGGCTGAGGGGAGACCTTATTATTACTTACAAATATCTAAAGGGTGGGCTGAAGGAGGATGGAGCCAGACTCTTCTCGGTGGTTCCCAGTGACAGGATGAGGAGCAATGGGCACAAGTTGGAACATAGGAAGTTCCATTCAAATACACAGAAAAACTTCTTTAGAGTTCGGGTGGCAGAGCACTGGCACAGGCTGCCCAGGGAGGTTGTGGAGTCCCCTTCTCTGGAGATTTTCAAGACCCGCCTGGATGCAGTCCTGAGTAATGTGCTCTAGGCAATCCTGCTTTGGCAGGGGAGTTGGACTAGATGATCTCTAGAGGTCCCTTCCAACTCTGAAAATTCTGTGAAACATTTGGGTTTGCTATTGCAAAAAAAGTAGCCATTTCTAGTAGAGATTTAAAGTACCTCTCTTGCCTATGGCTTTTGTAATAGCTTGGGTTTTTGCATTACATTTGACTGGAAACAAACCCTGGTCAAAGAACTCTTCGAATTCTCACTAAGTTGTGGGGTTTTTGTGTGTGTGTGTGTGTATAACGAAAGCCAGCATGTTAATATTAGAGTACTTATATTATACAGAAGTTTATTCCTAATTTAATGCGTGAATAGATACTATTCAGTTCCTAATTTCTACAGGAAATGTTGCAATCCTTTCATTTCTATTTTTCAGACTGCTGTGGCAAATTGGAGGCAGTTTTTTAGAGTGGAAGGACTAATCTGATTCATAAATGTATTCAAAGCTAATGTTCTGTTCTTCCATCTTGCAGTATGAGATGTACACTATTGAGAGGAATGCTGAAAGGACAGCGTCTGCGGGCAGGCTGCTCTACGACATGTAAGTAACCAGAGCTGGAACTCTACAATTTTGCCAGGTGCTTGTTTCCATAAATGTCAGAGTTTCCAAAAATATAATGTGAGTGTTCTTGGAAATCCATGTGGGTAAATTAAGCAGAAAAGGTCTTATTAATTAAAAATAAACAGTAAAAAGGAAGGGTTTATTTTCCATTTGCCCATGCCCGTTCTTTCATAGGAAGGTTTTGTCTTGGAAACAGATTATGAGATCACTATGCATTCCTTGCCTCAAACTTTATTACAGGTTTGTGAATTTTCCAGACCAACCTGCTGTATGGAGGGAGATTAGCGTTATTACATCAGCGTTAAGGAATGACTCGCAGGACAAGCAGACACAATTTTTAAGAGGTAAGGATTCTGTTCATTGAACAGGGAGAGTCCTGAAGGAATCTAAAGATAAGCCTTCTGGTTACATACCTAGTAGGGCAAGCAAATGTCAGTCTTTAACTTTGCTTGTGGGCTGCAGATTGTTTTGCTCAGTTCAGCCTTAGAGGTTTCTTTTGGTGTGTTAGGCTTAGGAAACACAAAGGGGTCATGAGAAGCTGATTCCTATTGCTTTGTTCTGATATGGGTAGACTAAGTCTGCCAGAACAGCAGCAGTTAGAAAAGAGATTGCATGGGGAATAAGTGGAATGGGACTTACAAACCATTGTCCAACTGATTGCTGAGAACGATGAATGATCATAAAAATGGGGTGAATTCGTACGTAGGAAGTGAGGCTTATAAAAATAAACAGTGACTAGAAGAGCCTGACATTCACTGCTGGCAACCACAGGCAGTTTTGAAAGCAGGATTTACACCTGACAAATTACAATATGCGGTTTGAATATGTGCTTCAGAAGCTTTAAGGATAACCAGTGTGTAACTCTGCATACAAGCTATTCCAGTTAGGGAAACATTTGATTTTTCATGGGTTTTGTTTACTTTTCAGAGAGAATATATAAAACTTACAGGGAGAATATGTTGGCTTCTTTTTAGTGTCTCATTGGAAGTTAAAATTGAAAAAAACTACCTCTTAATAATGAAAGTATTTATTAATTGTAGAAGTGGAATGTAAGTAAAAAAAAAAAAAAAGAACATTATTGAAAAAGCATCTTAAAATGTAAAATATTTAAGTTTTAGAATGTTCAGTATTCCACTTATTAGCAGTCTTGTTAATTCAAGTTCTGTGCACCCAAACAAATATAGATAAATATTCATATGGTCTTCTCTGAAAGAAACAGCCATTTTTTTCCGGGCATAGATGTTAAAAGCAGAAAAAGGTATAAGGAAATCTTTTTCATTCTGCATGGCAAGGTCATGTTGACCAGTCTTTTCACCCTTTGTCATTTACATTTACAATTCAGACATAGCAAGTTAAACATCTTAATTATTTTTTTAAGGACTATTTGAAACGCTTCCTGGTCGGGTCCAATGTGAAATGTTACTGAAGGCCACAGAGCAGTGTTTTAACACATTAGAAAGGGCAGAAATGCTACTACTACTTCTGCGACGTTTCCCAGAGACTGTGGTGCAACATGGGGTAAGAGAAGCTCAAAGTAACTATTCAAGATACTGCATTCTGTTTCTTGAGATTTTGCTGAAATGTATTTTCCTTTGCCTAGTGAGAGGGTGAGTTCTTTTATTCATGTTTAATTGTGGCTAATAGTTCAGATTGATGCATCTTGAGGTTACCACCGGGACAGAATTGGGCAGAAAACAAATGGAAGCAAATAAAACAATTTTTGGTTTTGTAAATGCAAAGAATATTTCATGCTTTTTGAAAAAGCAGAATAGCACAACAAAAGAGTGTAGAGGAGTATTATAGTCTAAGAAATAATATTGCTTCAGCTTTTTATCAGTAAACTGTGACTGAGGGCAGAGTGCTTTGAGGTTACGACTAGACTCTAACAAAGCGTGTTTGCTATGACTTATGAAACTTCAGCTGGAGCTGTTTAAATGATGACCTACTTTATTTAAGGACAGTTTCAGGATAGTTTAAAAATAGTCTAAAGGCTATAAAACCTGTTAGTTTTGAGACTGACTTACGCTAACATGTTGTAGCTTGTACTAGCATCAGGCAGAGTGCACAGTCAGTACAGCTCAGGTGACAAGCTGCAGCTTTAAAGCCTTGTACCTGCATCACCTTCACCTACATGTCTTTACTGATACAGTTGCATGCACAATTTTTCTCTTGGTTTTGTTTTGGCTATCTTCTGGCATTGCTTTTCACCTGTTCTTAAGTAGGGATAGTTTACTATGCATTTAGAGATTAGCATATGCAATTGCCATATAGTGAATTGCTACTCATGCATCCACTGAATTATTGTTCAACTTCATTGAACCACAGTTCAAAAAGTTTCTAAAACCACTGGTCCAGTGTTTGATTTTCACCTCTGCTCACACAGGTAGGCCTTGGAGAAACGTTATTAGATGCTGAAAGTATTGAAGACCAAGAATCCCCAGTGAATTGTTTTAGAAAATTATTTGGTAAGAAAATATTAATGTTCTTGTTTTATTATACAGCTTTTTAGCATGGCAAGATTCTGAGTTCAGTAGACCACTTTCAAGACATTAAGATTAGAAAACCACTTTAGTCAGAAGAGGCTCAAGCCACATTAGGCCAGGCTGACCATATGGTACAAATTGGTATTGCAGTCACTCATGTGAGGTTCTTCACGATTCTTTGTGGTGTATGGTCAGCCAGAGATGGAGGCTTACATTGCTGATTGAGAAACCTTACTTAGGACAAATAGAACAAAAAAACCCCACAAAACTAAAGGATTTTTTGGTTTGTTTTCTATTTTAGTTTGTGATGTTCTTCCTCTAATAATTAACAACCCTGATGTTCGACTTCCTGCCAGCTTGTTATATAAATATCTGAATAAAGCAGCAGAATTTTATATTAACTATGTGACTAGATCTACACAGACAGAAAGCCAGTATCAAGGTAAGAATATTTTTACAAAATTAGCCTTTCTTAGAATGTATTTTAGTATTACTGAAGTGACATCCATAAATGAACAATGCATTACTTTTATGTAATGTGTCCCACAGACAAGGATTAATAGTAGCATTTGATATTTCTTAGTTCTTTGATACCAAAACACCTCATGATGCTTCAACTAATTAATCATGGTGCTCACGAGGCTTCAGCATATATACTGAGAGGTAGGACAAATGTCCAAGATCTCCTTATCCAGCCTATCAGCTTTCTTGTATGAGGAGGCAGAAATGCTTCTGCTCCCTGTTAGCCTTCTCAGTAAAGACTGGTTACCCTGAAAGCTCCAATGTACATTTTTACATATCTCCTTCTTGAAAGTAAATCAGTTGGTTTGATTTCTTTATGAAGAGATAAATGTGCTGGTTTTCCTAGGTTCACAAGATTCCTCTGATATTATGTCTCCAAGCAAGCGTAGCTCTCAGAAATATGTAATAGATGGTCTTACAGAGAAATCATCGCAGATTACAGATCCCTGGGAGAGACTATTTAAAATATTGTCTGTGGTGGGAATGAGGTGTGAATGGCAAATGGATAAGGGAAGAAGGTGAGAAATGTGTGCTTTTCCTGATGTTTCTTCTCAAGGAGAATTTGGCTTTTTAATTCTTAAGGAGATGGGTTGAAGAAGGATTTTTCCATGAGGACATTTTGTGTAAATTCAGTGCTTTTCTTTCAAGACTGTACAATGAAAGCAAAAACATGGATCCAGGGAGCCCTTTCAAATTAGTTTCTAAACTAAACCTTTGTTGATGAAAGTCATCCATAAGAACCATAGTACTACGGGGTATCCTTCCATAGGTGCCTCAGCAAAGAGGGACATGGTAAATGTTTAGTGAAGTTTTACTGGCTTGGACGCCCAGCTTCCGCTGACTTGCAGCTGGGGGATTTCATCAGCCAAAACATTTAAGTTTTTTGTATTCATTATGTATTCTTTCCTTTAGTTTTGGAATCTATGTAACACCATGAATTCTTTTTGTCTCTCTTACTCAGAAGTTTTGGTGACATTTTGCATCGAATGAAAGACCTCTGCAGATACATCAGTAACTTTGATAGTGATGCACATGCTAAATATAAGAATCAAGTAGTGTATTCCACAATGCTGGTCTTCTTTAAAAATGCATTCCAGTACGTCAGCAACATCCAGCCATCACTCTTTCAAGGTTAGTATCTAGTGTTTTTTGTAGAGTTCTTTGTGACTTCATTGCTAATGTCTGAAAGATCTTTTCTCATGAGTCTTTTGAAACTGCAGAAGTAGTTCATGACAACTGCTGTAGTAGATGAGACCAAAGAACAGTCTAACTTAGCATTGTGGTTTCAGCCTCGGTCAGTAGCAGTTAGTTGTGTAGCAAAGAGAAAAGTAACAGACCAGATGTTATAAGAAACATCCCTAGGGTTCATTCCTGCTCTTCCATCATCATGATGTTTGTTTCATTTTCTCCTCTGATTCTGTTTCTTTGAAGCTTGACATTTTCCTGGCTTCCTTCAGTCAAAAAAATGTGCAAAAAGCTTCCGCAAAATAAATGAAGATATTTTTGCATTAGGAACACACAACAACTTTATAATTAATCAAATAAAACTTGAATAGGAAAAGATTTCCTGAAATTCAGAAGCTTCCGACTTGGCTTTCTTTGTGTAGTTTAAGCATAATCTTTAAGGTGTGCTTTGCACATCAGTCCTAATTTGTAATTGATTTGTAAATTGACATTTAAAGTATGAATGTTATCCACGATTTTTCCTACCGACTCAAATCTGCATTTGGGGCATATCATATTGCTTAGAACACCTTGGATTGCTTCTTCAGGAATTGACTGGACTTTTCAGGGATGGCCCAGAAGCTGAGGGAAGTTCTTTAACGTGCAGTTTGTTTAGAATTTATTGAAATAAACAGCATCATAAAGAGGAATTTTCAGCTCTTAATAGTGTGCATTTCCTGCTTGTTCACTCACTACTAGGGAATTCCTTGCAACAATAACAATTGTCACCATAGGTAATCAGTACTTATTAGCACTGCAATTACTGATTCGTGATAAAATTGCAATTTTAATTCCGCGTGTTGTGTTCATAAGTTTCATCACAATTTCCTGCATGGAGCAAATGATCATTTGAGTAATTAAACACTCAATACAAATGATGGGTTTTAAACAATTTTACAGAAAGTTGGGTAATCAGTTGAACGATGTCAGTAGATAGCTAAGCTCAGAAGATAAATGACATGGCAACTTGTATGCAAAGAATATGTAGTCACTTGAACAAATACAGGAACTAACTGAGTTGAGTTTTCTGTTCTATCCAGAGGAAAGAAGAGTTATGGTGGGGCAGTGAGATACTTAAGCTGTGCTTATAGTTTTAGTTGCTTTATTCTGAGTTGAGGAAGAAAGGAAGTAAAGCACTGGTGTAAATATTCCTTTCTAAGTTGTACAATTGGGTATGTTAAAGCTCATGTTTTCAGACTGAACCACCAAAAAAAGAATGTATACTGAGATAGCAGAGTGCAGTTCCTTCAGTGCAGCATTTCTGGTACCCTCTGTCATTTCCTGACATCAGGAGAATATTCCCAAGACATCTTTTACTCATTTCTGTTTTAGCATTAAAGTCCAGTGGTATACAGTGCCTTTCATGTCCTTTCTGTCATTAGGGTTTTTTCCTCCACTTTGGAGGGCTCACTGTAGAAATGTGGAATTCTACGGATTTTGGAAGCATAGTGGTGAGGAAAAAAGCTGTCTCCTTCTTACTCCAATAGCTCTGAGCTTTGATTTGTAACTTTATTCTCATGTACATGGACTTGCAAGAAACATCTTGAGAGAAAACTTTTCAAATGCATTTCTCTTACATGATTTATATCTCCCTTGCTGGAGACTTGAGAAATGAGTGAGGCAATTCACACCTCTCATAATTTTCAGGCTGCCTGCAGTCTTGGCAGGAGTTGCTATTTGGGCTGATGCTAGGGGTTTATTTATTACACTGTGTTAGAAATAATCAAAAACTCTGTAAGCTTAGATTCTAGAGACCAGTTAGACAGAAAAACACAACATTGCTCTTTGTATGGCTCTGTAACTTTCAGTAATGTAAGAGAAGGTTTGCAGCCCAAGTCAAAGGTGAGGTTAGGTTTTGTTTTGTTTTAGGACTGGAGGTTTCAGAATAAAGACTACAGTGCGCTTGCCTTCCACCTAGAAGAGAGCATTTTTTTTGTAAAGCAAAGCACTTAACTGGTATTTGTTCAAAGCAGTATGAGCAAAGGAAAACCCCACTTTTTTCTTCTCAGGTGTTAGAAGTAGGCAGCTCTTGAGGTTCTAGTGATAAAACTCTTCCAGCATCTCAGCTGTGGTACTTTCATACTTGTTTCCCATGGGTGCTGTTTTCTACATTATGACTTGGCTTTATTCTCAGTTCACACAGGTTAGATTCCAACACAGTGGAATGCGTGATGGTACAGGAGAAGTGGTTTCAATGTGTTGTAGCCTTTGTGTAGGGGACATTTCAGTGGTGGTATTTAGTTTGAACCTAGTCAAAGGAGATAACCTTATTTGTTAAGCATGCCAGGTTGGTTGTTTCTTGTAGCATTAACTTCTGTTGTAGTGGACTCCTTACACATCACTTTTGAGTAGATGGGAAGAGCTTAATATGGGCTCTTTTATGATAAGAGATGAAATGGATTGTCCTCATACTAAGCTCTCAAATTAGTTCTTTGCAATTATGAATGAGGCCTTATCCTCATACCTTTCTGCAAATAGAAACAGTAGAAATGCACATACTGAAAATACTTGTCTGCACTACTGTCTTGTCTGGTGGAGACTTCAAAAAGGGAAAACAGATTAATGGATTTCCCCTTTCCTTTATATTTCTCTTTGTCTGAGCTTTGCACATCAATATATAACTTGATTGTGCAGAAGAAGAAAATGTTTTTTGGAAGGAAAGCTTTCTCAGTAGTGGCCATGTACTGACGTTTTAGATTAAGCAGTGTTGTTCCTCTTTTATATCTAATGAAACTTAAGCACTGAGGTCTGAAATAACAGGTACCAGATCCCACTGGATGTTCTGTGACACCAGTGGAAGTAGAAATTATGTCTTCTGTGCTTCAAAACGAGGCTTCTCTAGAGGCTTTGGGGAGCGATGATGGGCTCTGGCAGTCTAAGGTTTAATTCTGTATACTGAAATCAGTGGAGGCAAAGCTGACACTGAGTGATCTTACTAGGGAAATCTTGTGATAAAATACACTCACTTCTTTGAGGCATCAGTGCCCATCAGCATATTGCTTTGGTTTCTTGTGAGAATGTTTGGAGAATATTGCTTTGTAATGTTTGTGGCTGTTAGCTTTAGAGTCATTTGTTCTGTTCACCTGTTGAATAGTTGTACTTTTATAAAAGCAAATAATGCTTGATGAGAGAACACCTGCTGCCTGAGTATATCTTGTGACTGCTCTGTAAGAAAAGGATTCAAAGACATTCTGAAGCTCTGAAGCAAACTCTTGTGACGTCTGGTAAATGCATTCTGACCTTTACCATAAGACTGCTTTGAGAAAACCATAGCTTAGTTTAAGCTTATGCAACTTAAGCGAATCAATTTCAGATTGTTTTCTCTAGCATTATAATCATTACTTGTGAAGGAAACAAAATCAGTTTGATGTAGGCATGAGACCTTTCAGATCAGTTTAGAGCAATCTTGAAATAATTTATCTTTAAATCCAGGGCCAAATGCTCCAAACCAAGTCCCACTGGTTCTTCTGGAGGATGTGACCAATATCTATGGTGATACAGATATTGATCGTAACAAACACATACACAAAAAGAGGAAACTTGCTGAAGGAAGAGAAAAAACAATGGTAACTTTTCTAGACTTTTTCATTTGTAACAAAAGTGGTGTTGGCACTGGAATTTAGACAATAGTGGTTTTGACACAGATGTAGTAGACGTATTTTTAGAGCTACCCTGGAATAGCCGTTTATCACCACAATTTGCAAACCGACTTTTTGGCTAAAGCCAGCAAGAATAAAATGATTTTTGTAGCAATTGCTGTAGACACGTATGTGCTGATGTGAATCCTTTAACTTGAAGGAGTTCAGCAGAGACTGCTGAAGCTGTTAAAAATGGTAGCTACGGCAGTCAGATGTTCTACAGCAAAACCTCCAAATTAATTGACTTTTTATGACTGGAACTGTGATTACATCTATTTCTTTAATAGTAGAAACCCCCTATTTTATAGAATTTCTCTGCTGGTAGAAGTATGTTCTTGTACAAGAATTACATTTCCTTTACATTTTGCCACTGTAGGCTTAAACTGAGTCATAAAGTGGGAAGTATGTGTGTACTTTAACAGATAATCTGGCTGAAGCTCAGTGGTGGTATGCCGCGTTTAACAGAATTAATTCTTTTGGGATACTGTTTATCACACTATACCACTGAGTTTCTTGGTAGCAAAACAGATAGTTCTAATATTAAAACAAGCTAAGCAAAAAGTCACTTAAAGGCACTTAAACTAGGACCTTGGCATCTCTAGTACAGAATTGATTTGTTGTGTTCAGTGGAACTTCTGTGACTTCAGAGTCCTCTGAAATAAGTATAAATTAAGAAGTGAATCTTTTTGTTTTATACTGACTCTTAAGCAGAGCTCAGATGATGAGGATCCTTCTGGGAAGGCACGAAGTCGCCATATTACAGTTAACAAGGCAGATCTTGCAAACTCTATTGAAGTATTAGAGAGCTTTAAACTGGCAAGAGAGAGCTGGGAGCTGCTCTATTCTCTGGAATCACTCGACAAAGGTAAGGCTAACTGCAGACAGAGTTGCATTTAGACTTCATTGCTGGGCATAGAAGTCATTTTACTATTGTTAAAATAAATTCCTGTCATTGTGAATCCTTAAAATTGAATTTACTTTGAGTCCTGAGTATTTTTGATCTAAGTTCCAATAAGAAGTTTTATCAGTTGTTGCATTTCTGAATATTTTGTTCCTGGATTTCATTTCATCCTTCATGGATCTTTGCTTATTCAGCCCCACTTCTCTTGGAAGCAGCTTTTACTGAAGGAGCAGTTGGTTAGTAGCAGTGCTGTTAATACTTGGTGAGGATGTGCTGCTAATGGCTGGTTTAGTTCAAGCTTAAGATGTGTCTCACCCTTTCTGATAATATCTGGTGTGATAATCTCAAAAACACATTTCTCTTCTAAAAATCAGGCAAATAGTACCACCTAGCTGCTTTTAGATTTGTTGGACACTGTGAAGATAAGTATAATCAAAGTATGATTGTATATGAAGAGAGTATCCTATATTTGAAAGATTTCACACTCTCGCTATTTTGGTTTTTTCATTTTTAAATTCAGCTATTATGTTTCTAGACAAGTGATTTTCAACCCAAAGCTGTGAAATGCTTCATTTCCTCTTTTACTTTTTCTTCTCTGACCACTTACACAGAGTTCACCAGAATTTGTTTGTCGTGGAAGACAGACACCTGGCTTTGGTTAAGAATCTTTCTTACAGACATGATCATCTACCAGGTAAAAAAAATAAAGTAAAAACTAGTAAAAATAACACCATTATGTTGCTCTTCTAGTGAATAGCTGTTCTGATTAGCCAGTTTGACTGCTTTAAGTGTCTGCTGATTTTATCCTTTAAAGCATGACCATTTTGGGGATGGAATCTTACCATTCTTAGCACAAGCTAGGTACCCTACTTAGGATATTCCTGTCCCAATAGCTGTTTGTTGAGCTGCAGATAGTTTTGGCATATAGAAAAGACCTCTGCATTTGCATTTTCACCCGTAGATATAGATTCTGCATATAGTGTTATGCAGAAAAGTGCATTTTATTCATCTGACAGTGCATTCTATTGGAACACAGAGAGAAGAATTTTCAAACAGCAGAAGATTTTCACGTCTCAGTTAAAATTTATCATTGTTCTTAGAAATTAGGCTGACTGTACTCATTCCAAATACCATCTGTAGAACAAATCTTGTTCTTTTGTATTTTTCCTTTGGAGATCTTTTATTTTTGCCTGTACTTGTACCTGAACAAGAGCTATTTCAAACTTTATTAGTCTAAGTAAAGTAATGATTAACTCTGAAGAGCATGATTATTTGTTTCAGTTATTAAAGCAATTTTGTAAACAGGCTTTTAAAAACAGAATTCTGTGTGTTCTCACTGCCTTGCACATGATCGATCCACATTCCTGTGCACAGCACATCACTCGAGAGTGTTCTGCTAGATTAAAATTTTGAAGCCCTGTTACTTAAACACGCTCTGTTTTGAAAGCTTTCTGTAAGGGAATTTTTATTTCTATCTTTCTCTCCATTGTATACAGAAGACCCTAACACTGTCTTTTTGTATCTTTTTTCAAAGGGACAGTACAAAAAAGCAATTAGCAGCCTACATCACTTGGCAGCTCTTCAGGGCTCTCATTCTCCACAGCAAATTACAGGACAAGGATCACTAGAAAATCAGAGAGCACTAATCCAGTTAGCAACATGCCACTTTGCCCTTGGAGAATACCGGGTAGGTACAGCATTCCACACGCTGGTCCTTCCTCATCTGGTCCTGTGGTTCCTGTTTGTCTTCCTTTCCTGTTAGCCTGCGTTCAACAGGTATTGAACATAACGCAGAGTCTACTGAAAAATCCATACCTCACAGGGAGAAGAATTGCACTTCCTGTTACATTAACTGACCGTCCATTGACATCTCTCTTAAAGAGTCTGTTTGCTAGTTATGATTTGGGGGGTTCAGTTACGATTTTCCATAACTACAAGTGTTTGAGTTGTCTGTAAATGTGACCTTAAATTTGAATTTCTTAACTTTACTGAAACAGTTTTAAATATTGAGGGAAAATTCTTAAGTATAGGCTTCATGTGGCAGAGGAAAGGAAAGGTTTATAGAAAAGAAACTTCAGTGATCATCTTAGAAAATAATTAGTTATCAACTGACAGTATAAGAGACTCCAGAACAATATTGTCTGGCCTGACCTCTGAACTTGCTTTACCTTTGCAATACATATTTTGTGTTTTTAATATTACAGGAGTGCATGGTGGTCTGAGGTCAGTCAGTGTCAGGACTAATAATCCAACATCATCCTAGTACTACTGGACAAGTCTTTTTGTCCCTTCCAGTTTACTACTTTCTCATTGGAAATGTGATAATATATCCCCACAGACCTCTTATTGTCTGTAGAAAATAGCATTAAAAATTTATCACATTTCTGTCATGCTGTCATATTGCCATTTTCCTTTCTATTTTCACCATGGACAGAACAACCTTTTAAAAACTATTAGAAGAATTCATTTGAAAACTTAATTCTTCAAAATAAAATAGTTTTTGATTGGAGTTGTATTGATCTTACACTCTCAAAATGAAAAAAGCAAATACATATTTTTTCACAATTAAAATGACTTATGTAGGCTCTTGGAGATTGTTTAATGACAGCTATGTCTTTTTGCTCAGCCAAACTAAGTTACGCATTAAGTCTACTCAAGTTCTAGCAGAGAATTTTGTCTTTTTTTTTTTTTTCATTTGTGATGTCTGAAATTTGTAATCATTAACACATCTGAATTTTAAGAACTTTAAATTAGATTTAGCATTATCATGTCTCTCTTCTTTTTATAGCAAACATGTGAAAAAGTGCTTGACCTCATGTGCTGTATTTTACTTCCAATACAAGAAGGAGGTAAAGTACAAGAGGAACAGCCTAAAGTAAAGTCCAAATTCAGGAAAGGTATGGAGTTGCTACTACCCTAACCTCAGTGTCAGCTCAATTTTAGTTCATGCGTTTTGGTTGGGTATATAATTCTTTTTGTATTACGAAAAGGGACAAAGTTGTTTATCCCCTCTGTTTTTTTCTGAGTGATTTTCCTGCTGGTACCTGCTAAAGTATACTGGTGACAAAGTCCTACCACAGGAAAAGAGAAATGAAGACAAAAATTTAAAATGTGTAACTTCACGTCTTAAATCGTTCATAATTTACCTTCAAAGTTTTCCTTCCTACCTGAGATTTGGCAATTGTAGATTTGTTTTGCTCCATTCTAATGTCTTTCAAACTTAGATAGTCATGAGATCCCTAAAGAAGTGTATGATGAACTGCTCTGTTGCAGGGTCTGATTTGAAGCTTTGGCCATGTACCAGTAGAGCTATCATGCCTTACTGCCTTCATCTATTGTTAGCTTGTTTCAAGGTAAGCTATAGTCAAGGCTTCAAATTCTCTCTTTTCTCTAAGGCCTTCTTTATGTATCTGGGGTCCTGAAACTGCAAGGCCTTATCCCAGTGGTGTGACTAGGTGTGAACGGCAGTGCCTCAAGTCCTTCTCACCTAAATGGGTTTGTGGAGGGTCTTCTTTTGGGGAGGGAAGCAGTGCTGATGAAAGAGGGTTTGTTCTCTCTCTTCTATTCATTTTAGTTTGGGGCAGAGGAGATAGAATTAATCTCAACATATTTTTGTCTGTATTCAGACTTCCCTTACAGGTCAGCGGAGAGAATTTCATATTTTGGCTGGAAATTTCCAACCTATTTTAAATGCATACATTAGGGCATAATGAAATATGCTCCTAAAGAACTTCTTTTGTATTTGCACAGATGTAGGTGAGGAGAATCCCATATTTTTGTAAAAGCAACATTTGTTTCCTGAATGTCTCAATGTCAGTTTTTTCCCTGAAGCTCAGAGCTTTCACAGACAGCAGAGATGATATGGCGCTGGGCCACGTAGTTGTTCTGCTTCAGCATGAGTGGCCAAGGGGTGAGAACTTGTTCCTGAAAGCCATCAACAAAATCTGCCAACAAGGAAACTTCCAGTATGAGAATTTTTTCAACTACGTCACAAGTATCCTTTCTCTAACCAAGAATGTCTTTCGCATCCAAAACTATGTGCTGGGGTGTTGAAAGAGCTGTTACACAGTTTCAGCACAGCTCTTCTCTGTGAATCATATTCTCTTTATTTCCATACCATGCAAGCCTCTTGTAATAGGTGGCAGTGCACAATGGACTATAAATATGGTTCCTGTCACCTGTTCTGGCACTTGAAGGTACCCTTAAGTACATTGCAATTGCACTTCCATTCAGCAGTAGCTTAGGCTGCTCGTGCAAGCAATGGCAGTCTTTTCAATAAAATATATAGGGCATTATACTACAAATTTGTTAACAAAAAAAAATAGAGCGGTACCTATGCTTCAAAGACTTGAATGATTTTGGCTATTTTTTATTAAATACTTTGTGTGGGTAAGTTTTTTGGGTTGAGTAAGGTAATGACATATGTCAAAGTTCATACAAAGCATGTCTGATTTCTATATTCAGATATCTCACATACGCTTCAGCAATAGACATGTGGACAGTTTAGTGTTTAACCTAAATAGACATCCAGCCATGGTGCCCAGGAAGCAGGGGCCTGACTCCTATCTCAGACAACTGAAAAAGCTCTGATGTTAAAGGAAGGGAAAAAAAAAAAGAAGAAGAAAAGTTAAATAAGGGACCAAAATAGAAAACTAAAAAGGGTGGCATGTGCCACCGTGGTGGCAGCCTCAGTACATGCTGCTTTGATAACCTGCAATGCAGGAAAAGGAAGTAAAAACAACCAGGGAATTTGTTTGCAGAGATGATCTTTCCTTCCTCTGTCTGACTGTACATATGAAGAAAAGAAGAGAAAATAAATTGACTGATCTGTGTATTTTGCACTTTAAAAAAGCCATTTCTCATGAATTCGTGGAGGATTAGGAAAACATCCTGTGATCTTTATCACTTTTAAGAATGAGATTCTTCAACAGCTGTTCATTTTGACTGGCCTTTCAGTAATGTGGCTTCAGATGCAGGGGATAAGGAGGAATGTTCTCTATCATTTTTTCCCAACCCAAATCTTTAACATTTTCTTCAGATATTGATATGTTGGAGGAATTTGCTTATTTAAGAACACAGGAAGGAGGCAAAATTCATCTGGAACTGCTGCCAAATCAAGCAATGTTGATCAAGTAAGGATAAAAAAGCATTTACTGTTTTCTTTGGGAAAAAAAGGAGAGTATGTTCTGGTTGTCTTTGCTTTCATGTAATCTTCTGGACAGTAAGTTTGTCATGTCTTTGAGTTTAAATTTAAGGAGTTGGCTAAGGAGTTCAAACAAGGCCATGAGGTTTTTTTTCTGACTCTCCTGCTGAAAAAAAAAGAACTGTGAATTCTTTTTGGGAGTTCTTCAAGTTGAAACTCCTGCTTTTACAGAATTTTGTTTTTAAGTGTTGCATTTGCTTTAGAGTGATTCATATTAAAGTGATTACAGTATTGCTTTTTCAACCAGACACTTGCACTTTGCAGGAATTCTTCAAATAATTAGGCATGAGTGCAAGGTGTTAATTTTGCTGAACAGTAATGCTAAACAAAAAGCACTATTTGTTGTAAACAAAGTTACAAAAGACCAGTGAATGATGAAAAACTTAGGTATAAAATATAAATTAAATTACATTCCAGGTAAACTCTAATAACCTTTCTCTCAGAACTAGTAGGTCATCTCTTGCTATGTACCGAACAAGCTTATTCTGCTTAGCTTATTATGAGATGCTGAAGGAAATTAATAATTTGGATTAACTTCCTAGGTGTTCTTAGTTTTGAGACAAGACTGAACAAGTATCTGCTGCGGGGTTTTAGTGGCAGAAATGTTTTGGAATACCCTGGTTGCTTATTAGAGCTTGTGGTATTTTGCTTTGTAAGAGGGGGACTGCTGAAGTTTGTTGAAATTCCAGTTCGGGCCAGTATATTCTGGCTATTCACTAACTAGAAATGGGCTAAAGTTTTCAAAGAAGGGAGCCTAGACATTAGACAAACTGGATCAACACTTGGACTAGTAAATAGATTTTCCAGAGTATTAGGTAACCAACATAAAAATGAGATACTAGGTGTAATTAAAGAAAAGAAAAAGAAGAAATACAAATGCTTAATTATGTGACAGAGAATTTTCTCTCTTAAGCTCTAGATTTTCAAACTCTTACCCTTGCTATATCTCACTGCTTCTAACCAGCTGCATGAAAACAAGATCAGGGTATGCTGCACTATGTATGATGTTAAGTAATAAGCTTTGTCAGCAAGAAGGCTTAGCACTGAAGACCATGCCTGGTAACTTCTTAGCTGCTATCTCAAGTTAGTTGTAATAGTTCAGTGCTGTTTATCTGCGTCACAGCTTTTATTTTGATTGGCATGGTAGCTCTTACTTACTGTTCTGACCCCACCAGTCAGGAAGTAGGTAGCAAGTAGTGTTTCTAGCAAGATAGAAATCTCTCTTTGACCTCCTTTTGACCAGTGTTTTGTTTCCTGAATTATGGAAACGCTTGTAGAAAAGAGGTCCATTTCTTTGTGCTTATTGAGTCAAAACAGTCAAATATCCCATCCAGCTGGAAAAGCTGTGGCTGAGATGTTTAAGACAGGAACCACTTCATCGGAGAGCTGATGGGAGGGAGAGCTTAGGGTGTAGTCCACTAACTGGAGATGACGTCTACTCCCCTGGTACCCCAGTTATTTTTTTAGCTGGACTGGTGTTACCCTCAGGGATGGTGTCACCCAACAGCATTGACCTCAGCAGCGTTGGTTAGCTCACAGCCTCCCCCAGCTGGGGTTTTAGATAAAGTGTGCCAGAAGAGCCCTGTTTCCTGGGACAATGGTTGGTAGGCTCAAACTCTGCAGACTTTCATCTTTCAAAACTACCACCAGTTCTGGTTGTATGAGCTGCTGCACCATCCTCCCAATAATTAGCAGAGGCAGCTTAGGTCTGTTCAGTCATGGACGGGACAAACACAAGTTTGCCACAGGAGCCCAAAGATGAAGCAGTTGCTCCTTTGCCTGATCTTTTCTCAGCATAAATGTACGTAGCAATCCTGACTCTTAATTGATGGGAAATGTATTACAGGTATTATATGGTTTTTTATACGGATAGCTTTATGTTTTGTGACTTAGAGGACGTTATCTCCCCAGGTGAATTCCACATTCTTCTTCCAGTACTTTTCCTCAGGACCTTATACTTAATAGGAACTTACATTAATTTTTCTGAACCCAGGAAAGCAAACTGCAGTGTGGTTTTCAAAAGCTGAAGTAAGATCTTGGTAGCCTGCAGACTTACAGTCAGGTCCTGCAAAATACATACACAGCTTGTAAACTTTCCCTTTGCTTGTATCCATTGTGGGATTATGAAGGTCCACAGTTTTGGTTTTAACTGGTGTTGTAGCCAGCCTATTCTGTGTGCAGTGTCAACAAGACTTCCGTGATTAGCTCTAAATTCAACAACTAATTGCTTTTGAACTCCATTCTAGACAAACCAAGTTTCATAGTTTTACTGTTTATACATGTCAGTAGTGGCAGTGTTAGCTAGTGAGGTTAAAGATGAAAAGAACAATATGCAAGAAATCACTGATTAATATTGTGCTCCTCTTTTTGATAAATCTTACTCTAATTAGTCTAATCTTAGCCTACCAAACTGTGTAAACTTGATGTGAAAGCTGAGTGTTCCGCCTCTACTCACATTCCCATCACATCTCCCCTTGGGAACAGGGAAGGGAAAGCTCAGTTGGTTTGAAGTGAAACAAAGTATCTTGAAAGTGTAATTTTTATTCTGGTTATGCACTTGGGTATGTTAAGTTCTGACTCTTGCAAACAGTAATGAAGACGCAGTTGTGCAGAATCCCTTTTGCAAACATCTGCCACCCTGGAACCAATAACATCTTGCTGTTCATTTGTATTTTCTGTTCCCAGTGCCCATTTTTGCAAATGCTGGACCTATTCATGCCAAGAACTCTTGAAAAATTATCTCATTTGATTGAACAATTCTTGTGAATATTTTATTTCAGGTTATTGTAGCTGTATTGTAGAGTGGTTCTGTACTACTAAAATGCCCCATCTTTATTTGGCTTTTATAAGCATAGCTCTCCAACCATATTCATTAATAAATTCTAGATAATAACCGAAATGCCCACCTGTGAGATCTGAAGGTAGGCACCTAACTCAGTATTATAGCCATGTAAGTGCGAGTCTTGCTTCTCTGCGCCCTTCTTAGCGTCTATGGGGGTGAACGCTGCACTCAGTACTTGGGTGCCTAGTAAGATTTAGATAGCATTTTGAGAGACTTGGGTTAAGAAACTAGACCTGTTCTCTATATATCAAATTGCTCATTTGTCCTTATGTGGAGCATTGGATCTGCTCTAGGCTGGACATGTGAGGTTATTATCTTGTGTTATAGATAGCAAACAGAGATAAGGACTTAACTTCACAGAGAAGACAAACTGTCTTTCAGCTGAGACACCTTTTGGTGGCTAGTTGATGTGGCCCTGGTCATAAATGGGAGGTTGCTCTGAGTGGGCATTTGTGCTCTGACATTGTGCCATCCTCCAACAGCCATTTTTGTGTGCAGTTTGAATTTGAAAAGGTGAAAAAAGGCATCTGTAGGCTAAAGAAAAGATACTTGGGCAACCTGTAACAAACACTGTCATGTACTCAACTTGGCCGATACCCGCTGTGCATGCTCTCGGCTTGGGCTCAGCAGCAAATCCCTTAACTCCAAGTTGTGGGCTCTCCCGGTCCGCTGACACGCTCCTGCCAGCTCTGCAGGGAAGCTGTGGTATCTGCAGTGCTCCTCTGATTATTCTGATTGACACACTTCCTGGGAAGAGCTATGACAGTTCATCGTGGTACAACTGGATATTGGTTTTGCACCTATTGCTGTCCTTTCTCCTGGTGTTACTGTCCAAAAATATGTGTATATATTTAGACCACAGTTGCAGAACACCCTTGCAATGAAATACGGGGATATTTGCATGTTTGATGCTGTTAGGGTCTTGCACCCCTTTGGCTGCTCAGTGGTCATACTGCTATGTAGTCTCACCCTACTTCTTTGTTGCTCCTTTTTCTGGAGAGTTGTTATGCACCGGAAGGGGAGTTGGTGTGTGGGTGTTTGAATGCTGCTATTTGCTGTTTTTTAAAGGACTTCTAGCCCTCCCATGGGGTTACTGCAGCAGGAACTCATACCTGTGCTACAGCCCAGCATACAGACTGCTGACAGGTACCAAGTGGAAAAACCCCGCTCATAGTGTGCTGTGTTTTGTCAACATGTTTTACTGCCCATGGTTTTCAGCAATTTGTTACTCAATATTTATCTTTCTTTTTTTTTTCTCCATTTGTGCCTACATTGCCTGGCAAACCATGTTGTTCTATTATAACATTTATTTTTCTTTTTCCCATAAGTTGCCAGTATCTGTGTCCTTTCAATTTAATAATCACTGTTGAATTTAAACAAAAATGTAGAAACCCCCCAAAATGACATTGGTATTCAGTCATGTATTAGCAAGAGTATAACCCTTTCTTTTCAAGATACTGGTTACTGGATCAATTTGTAGCTACTTTTCTTCATTGAAGTTGTTTGGAATTCTGTTTTCTGTTTTCCAGCTGTTACAGGACACATATCTTCAAAAGTGCTGCTGGCTTGCTCAGTAGCTGTAGGTTGCATATTCTACTTTAGGTTCTAACTGACCTTAGCACTTGGCTGCCAGCCATGTTTAAGATGGCAAAGATGGAAAACAGGGCTTATCCCATAACCTCTGAATATGCCGGAGTATTTTCAGTGCAGTTTTGCTTCACTCAGCCTAGCTCATCAATGAGTGGCCCAGTAATCTCCAGGCTAGTCTCTTCTTTGCCTTTTCCACCTGTTACAGAGGACTCTACTATTTTGGCAGAGAAGTCTCTTCTCAAATGCTGGACTTGCTGATTTAAGTGAACGTGGGGTGGTATTGTTGGTGAGGGTAATTTCTGTGCTTTTTCCCTTTCACACGTCCAGCATCTCTGGATTGGCATAGATGCCCTCACCCTTTATTTTTTATTTCCTTTCTGTCTTTCAGTGTGCTTGCTGGGTTCGGCCCAGCTCTTCTGTTCTTACCCATGACTCAGGACTTGTCTCAACATCAGCATCATGCTTTTCTCTCTAATTTAATTCATGCTGCTCCTTTAGTAGTGTTAGGGCTCTCATTTCAGGGCCTATCTTTTGCTTCCCTTCCCAAGTAGGGCTTGCAAGTAGATGCTACAAAGTCTTGATCTTACTTACCCAGTTCTGGAGCAGTGCGAGTAAAATGTAGTACTTTGACGCTGCAGAACATTAAGAACAAGATTTAGGTATCGAGTGCTACAGGCCAGCATGCGGACAAAGAACTGTTTCTAAGAACGGCCTTTAACAGGGCAGTATCCCAAGAGTTTCCCCAGCCAGGATCGCTTTATCTTGCTCAGTAGCTGGACCCGTGTTCTGTTTGAAAACAAGTCCTGAACTTCTGCTCAGAACAAATGTAATAACTGCCTGGTGTCTACTGTCTCCACAAGACCTGGCTTCTACTGACACAGACTCACAGCCTGGCGTGGTTTGGGCTTTGCATTGGCCTGTGAAGTGTTCACTGCACCTTTCATTAACCAAAGAGTTATCAGTGCCCACAAGATTATATAGCTCCTTCCTACACTTTCTTACTGGTACCAGATGCCCTCTGCTCTTTGCAGCCATCTGTCCCCTTCCTCCAGAGAAAGCAGGTTCATCTTTTCACTCTTCTTTCAACCCCAACCATTTATAGAAGTGATTACAAGGAGGAAGTGGCCTGGGCAGCACAGGTAGAGAGAAAGAAAAAAATCCTATCCCCAAGCAAGAATGCTGTACATGCTGGGTTAAGAGAATAGGTTTTCCTGTTAGCCAGAACAGCAACATTTTTTCCCCGTCAACAGTCATTATCAAAGCAGTGAGAGCATAGACTTTGATGGAACTTCTAACTGTTGAATGACTTGTAAGCTACTAAACACATGATTTTTAAAAAAATAGCATAGCATGGGCTATTTGGGTCTCCTTATATAAACTCAGGCATGGACAGTAGATATATAGTAAGTGACATGCAGCACCTTTTAAATTACTGTAGTGCACCAAATAACTGTTATTTGATTATTTTTTTTTCTTGTCTCTCTCTCCTTCATGGCTTAAGGCATCACACAGTTACCCGGGGTATAACTAAAGGAGTGAAAGAAGATTTCCGCCTGGCCATGGAGCGCCAGGTCTCACGCTGTGGGGAGAATCTCATGGTGGTCTTGCATAGGTTCTGCATTAATGAGAAAATACTGCTGCTTCAGACGCTTGCTTGAATGGACTGGATCATGATGCAATGTCTCTTATGGAGAGAGGAGAAGGCTATTAATTGTATGAACAGTAGCATGGCAGTGGAAAAATCACTTGTCCAGGGAGTCAAAGAAGTTCCCTATGAGTTACAGGTTCTACAATACACAAACACTACTCAGTGTTTGTTCACTGCTTAGTTTTCTTATGTGGGTAGATCAAACTTTATAAATAAATCTTTGTTTAAGAAGTGTTCTGTAATGTTCTATTTGTTTTGGGTTTTTCCCATAAAATTATACTAAGGTGTGCATCTTAGTTCTTTCCGTCTTTATACATACACAAAGAACACAACAAGGTATTTCAGGCTTTTTATTAGCAATAGTTTGGAAATCACAGCATGAGTGAATTTCCTGAGTTTCCCAAAACTATTAATTGGTCTGCTCTCTTCCTTTCTGGCTGAATTCTACCTGCATTGCTGGTTTTCAGATTCAGGGCCCTTATGTAAATCCATTTATAAAGAGGATTGCTTTGATTGAACTTTGGCAATATCCAAGTGATTATACAAACTCAATAGGAACCGGCCTTTCTGCTCTCTTCGAGTGCAGCACGTGAAACCTGGACCTCATCTGTGCTAGAACTATGTAACACAAAGGCCCAGAACATGCACAGATGGGCTGCTAAACCTGTAGCAGCAGCATGCCGATTAATAAGAAGAGATCTTTGGCAGTAGGCTTTGGGAGGATCCTAAACATAAGACCAAATTGGAAGAACACAATGAAGAACGATCAGTTGAGTCCCCACTTTCTGTAGCACACTGTAGCACAGAGGTGTCCCTGAGCTTTCCCAGACAGTCACTGCACCGCTGACCCAAGTGCAGGGCTGAGGATGCTGCCAGTGCTCCAGAGTCAAAAAGATGGCTAAGTTAAATGTGTGCTAGTAGCTGGTGTGGCGCAGGCATGCAGCAGGTGCCAAGGGTATATACAAACCCCAGACCACATGAGTTACGGGGTGCCTTGTCAGATGCAACAACCGTTACCACAGTCCCATTCTGATAACCCCTTGCAGTTACCACCCAGATCCCTTGCAGTTCCTTTTGGAAGCACCATCAGGCTGTCTTTGACTGCCCAACTGTTGCAATATATTCAGTTTCCCTCTATGAAGGAGGGAGATCAGTAAAATATTTACAAAATACAGAAAACACAAAGCAACTGCAGCAGACTAGTAAATTTTTGCTAAATAGGAAAATACTGTCCCTTAAGTCACATAAAAGTCTTGATGACAACTTCCATGGCACTGTAAACTTGAACTAGTATCCCTTTTTAGTAATACAGCCTAGCACGAGTGGCAATATTTAGGCTAATCCACCTTATGCATTTGCCCCATCAGAATCTAGGCCTGCTACACCCTGACCACCTCTATCAGATTTTCCAGAATATCCTTCTCCTGTAAAGTAAATACGATATTATGACCCAAAGAGTTGTCGCAGTAAGGTTTTGAGTCAGATGCTCTGCGTGGGATTGACTGTCTTGCATCTTCCACTTAAAGGGGAAATAGTTTTCAAACACTTCGTGTCCAATGTAGACCAGGATTGAGTTCATTCCTGAAAGTAAGCACAGGTCATACCATCTGAAAGAGCAGGTATGATCTTGCTTCAGAGTAAGCAGGCAGAAGCATGCCAGGCTTAGAAACAGAGTGGCACTGAGACAACAGCAGCTAATCACAACAACTAATGTTACTTGCCCCAAAGATGCTACACACGTGTGTTTTCAAATACAGTCTGAGGCGTTCTCTCCCCCAAAACGTTTATTGAAAAGAAATACAGACAACCTATATGCTAAATTGAGAATACAACCAAATCAGTATCCTGCAATTTTATTGACAAGGAGAATAATCATAGTTATTGTCTTTAGGGTGGCCGAGTGCCAACCTATTTGGTCAGATCTATCGCCTTTACAAACAAATGCTGACTGCCCTTCAAGGCTCTGGGATTTCTGGTAGGAGATGTGATACCATGCTGTCACCCGACCCATCTTCCTGTCCAGACACCAGACACCAAAGCTGTGGAAAGGTTCCCTCTGCTGTGGGTTTGCATTCTGTACTCAGATGTTTGTCAAGAACCCAGTGTGGTTAAAACCATAGTGGTATGCTTTGGGAGACTGGCTTATCTAAAAACACAGAGACAGAACCTACACAGCTGCCCAGGGGATTTCGTCTTCCACATCTTCAGAAGTGGTATTAACTCTGTTGACAGGCCTTTGAGTTTCCCATTAGGTTACCCAAGTCTCAGCAGTTCTTTCCAAAACCAACTATAAACCAGCTGTGGTATTTCGTTTGGTACTAGGTAGCTGTTCCCCGGGACCTTAACTCGAGACCAAACTGGGAATGATCATTGGGCAATAGCAGCTTCCAGCCCTCGTTTAAAGACCTGACAGTCCTTCTTGCCTAAATATCTGGTCTCGAGTGTCCCAGTTCTATGCAGAGATTCATCTCAAGTTAATCATTCTGGCGCCCTTCACGTTATTACCTCATTCTAAATCCCAACTCTTTTAAAGACAAGGGAAGTGCACAAAACATAAAAGGATAATATCAGTGCAGAAAGAATTGGAAGAAATATGTTTCTTGCCATGATTTTACTGACCTGGATAGAAAAATGGAGCACCCGACCACAGTCTCTTGACATCCACGAGGTAATATATCAGTGTTAAGAGGATGAAGGCAAAGCAGCTCATGGTTGTCACATATGATATTGACCTACACACATTTTCAGTAGAAAGATTATTTAGAGAACTATGTGATACAGACAGATCTCAATATAAGAAAGGTAAAACATTCTCCAAGGTAAAATAGTACTTTAACAAAATCATAATAAAAGTTGTATCTCTCTGCTTCATAATAAAAGTTGTATCTCTCTGCTTACCATAAGTTCTTGTTTATGGGAATAAACCCTTCTTCTTTAGAACATTTTGTCAAGATAGCAGAAACAATGCCCTGAAATAGAAAGTTGCTAAAGTTTATATAACCACTGCAACTTGTTTCAGAAATACTAAGTTTGTGTTGCATAAAAATACATGTCTATTAAAGAGCTACATAACTATATGACTTACCATTACTATGCTCCATATGACAAACCGACTCATAATTTGTTTGTGCTGGTCTTTGTAGAACAAGATAATTTTTCCAGCCTAATATAAAAAGAATATAAAAAATGAATTAAAGCTCATAAATGTAATTACATTTCAAGAGCCAGATATATTTACCACCGGCTACCTGGGCTAAGACAGAGAACGTGAATAGTATTTATAATAAGTAAGTGGCTGAAAGGCTCCAAATGGGAACTTTTTGCAAAGAATGGACACAGATGGGGAAAATATGTAAATGCAACCCACTCAGCAGTAGAGGTGCACCTTTTCTCCCTTCCCTACTACGTTAACGCTGAGGAAGGGGACAAGCAAGTTCGTTAGGTTAACGCAATGTGACTTGAGCTCCATCTCCCTCAGCAAGGATTGCATGAAGGAACAATGCCACACTGACTCCCCAGCCAGCCCCAACAGCTTCTCCACAGCGCTATGTCACACGCTGGCCTGCTCAGAGCGCACGCTCCTTTTCAGGCACCACTAAGAAATGTGTCCTGATCACTCATTCCTCGGTGTTACAGTTCTGTTCCAATCTCTGCCCCACAGAGATTCCCAATATGGCTAACACTGCATGTCAAGCAGAAAATTAGCAACAGGGAACATGTTCAGCTACAACCCTTAAAACCGTATGTTTAAAATGAAGCTGTGAAGTCTATGCATCTCTTGGCCCTATTTTCCAACAAGCAGAACCAGCCTACTCCCAGCGTAAGCCCAACCTTAAAATAAGCAAAGGAAGTTCCCGGGTGGATATTTTGCAAACTTCTTGTGTCCATCCCTTACAAAAACTGAGAAAAAGTCTTGGTTTATCTAATGCGAGATACTGCCAGGTTAAATTCCACTTCTCTGACACTCACCTCAGGCTAAGTCAGCCCGAAAGCATTGCTCTGGAAAAGGTTTTGTTAGAACCAGTCTCAGCCTTAAATAAAGAAATCAAATTACCTCCCCCACTTCCAAAATTCCTTAAAATCTTCCCATTATTATCAAACAGCCAGAAAGAAAAGAGGTACCTGCAGTCCCAGAAATGCCATAAAAATGGTATTTATGGTCCCCAGGATCCCTTCAGGATCATACGGCATCGTTGTTTGGTAAATCACCTTAGAGAGATAACAGTTGTTACAAGGCATCTGAGCAACCAGTCTCCTGTCTGTTCCATCCCCTTGCATCTATCATTGCTAAGCCCCTCCTGACAGCTATGTTCAGTGCTTGCCTGCAGCTTCATGCTGCAAACCAAAAGCTACTTACACTTGAAGAGGGATGCTGGTATATATGCTTTTCTCCAAGAAGCAAACGATCAATGTAACCAGCTGCTCCTCCAGTGCAGTTGGGATAGTTTCCAAAGTCTCCAATGCCCCCAGGACCAAGATAGCCCCTGGGACAGAAGTAAACAGATTATGGCACAAGGTGTTGGTACGCTCCACCTGAATAGTAGCTGGTCCACTGGCCCAGCACACTAAATGCCCGATGTTCTCTGGGGCCAGAGGCACACAGTGAAACACAGGTCCTATATGACAGCTGGCTGGTGGCCACCCTGTTTTGATTATTGCAATACCATGAGCAGGTCATGATGGGACAGGCGGTATCGGGAGCCTACAGCAATGCTTCTGTTCAGCCCTGGCTACCCAGCTGGCTGCTCCCCCTGCTCTGCAGGTACCGACCCTTTAAAGGGGCAAAGATAGAGACAGGGATGACATTGCGATGATCATATATCACTGTACACAGACCTCAGGGAGATTTTAATCCTCTTCTTTAGATAGAAAGGAACACCGATGCCACCTTTATAACACCTGGTACTTTAGTACCACGGTAAAGAAAGTTTTTTCACATGATGAACGCTTCCCTTAACCCCGCTTGTCT